AGTGCCCTGCGCTGCCTTGGCTGAGTACTGCTGCAGAGTCTGCCAAGAAGATGCTGTCTCACCACTGTCCTTGGGAGAAACACCCCCATTTCACACATCAGAGACACTCGAGTAATGTTTCAGGAGCCACGGGTCGATAGGCTGCCCAACAGGTAGCCATAGACTCAATTGCCGAGCCATAAGTCAGCAATCAATGAGCTCGCCCAAGGTGAAAGAATCAGCCAACTACTAAATCAAGAATAAGCTAGCTGAAAGACTGCCAAAAGTCTCCACTATCCAAATGTGCTTTCGGGTTAGATGTCCCTGATCAGGATTGAGATGACCCAGGTTAACCACTATTCCCCGATCAGGTTGAACTGAACAGCTCATTAGCTGCCATACCAATAATCAGCAAAATAACACTGGACCCTGAGGAGAACCTCCACGCAGGCTGCTGGTGCTGCTCCTTACAACCCAATGAGAAGCTTTATATTTCATCATTTTTCAACTCCAAAAGACTGAATTACTCATTTGACATATGCAGATATCCAGAGTGCAATTAATTTGTTCAGCCTTTGACATGATCCCTTGCTTCCTTGGAGCACAGAGGAGAGATATGTTGAAGGGGTTGGAGGGTTCATTTCACAGCCTTTAGAGACTTATGAGGGCAGATACTCTTCGTAGGAGCTGTCTTGCTCATTAGTATCTGGGAAAGTCATTAGATTTTTATGAAATCTTTTTTAAAGATTTGCCTTTTCATAGTTTAAGGGTCACTACTGCACTGCTTCATAGTAATTATACTAATCAGAAATATTTTCTTCCTGCTATACCAATTATCAAGTGGAGAAACTTAAGAAACCAGCATAGGCTCCTACCATATACAGATGGTGCACTCTTTTTTTGTTGTTTTAAGTGCATATTTTAGCTATCAATCCATAATTTACAAGTACTGTCCATTTTTTTTTCCTCAAAAGTTTTTTTCTGAGGTTTCCAGTTCTTCTCCCTTAAATAAAAAATAAAAAAAGAATAATGTGAACCAGCCTAAGGGTTTATGTGAGACTTTCACAGTCATGAGCTATAGTATCCTTTTCTGCATAGGAAAATGCCGTTTTCTGGTTGAGGATCTGAGACTCAGAGGACCATATTCCCAGTAGAGTTTGTGTGTCCAGCTCCTGTGAAAATTAGATATGTAGAGAGGGAAACAGCAAGTAGAATGCAGATATCAGTGCTGAACAGGGCTCCTTGGAGAGCTAGCCAACACTCAGTGAAGTGCAGCACATGATTCAGCTCATCTGAAAGTAGGTCAGCCAAATCCATTCCCTAAAAGTACCTGTTTCTCTCCATGGACTATAAGGAAAGCACAACAGCAGAGCAGATATCTACATTGCAGGTGACAGCGCGGGGCAAAGAACAGTGTT